CAATTGGTCCAGTGGTGAGAATCTTTGTCTTCTTGACATTGAGCCTCAATCCATATTGTAGGCTGCAGTCCTTGACCCTCTGCAGCAGGCGCTTCAGGTCCTCTTCAGTTTCAGCAAGCAGGGTTGTGTCATCGGCATAACACAGATTGTTGATAAATCTACCACCAATCCTGACACCACACTTCTCCTCATAGAGCCCAGCCTCCCAGATAATCTGTTCTGCATACAGGCTGAAAAGGTATGGAGACAGGACACATCCCTAGCGTACACCCTTTCCAGTTTTGAGCCATGCAGTGTTTCCTTGCTCTGTTCTGACAACTGCCTCTTGGTCCAAGTATAGGTTTCGCATTAGCACAATCAAGTGTTCTGGGATTCCCATTCTTCTCAGAGTCAGCCACAGTTTGTTATGATCCACACAAACGCCTTTGCATAGTCAATGACACACAGACATTCCTCTGGTATTCCCTGCTTTCAGCCAAGATCCATCTAACATCAGTTACAATATCCCTAGCACCAAGACCCCTTCTAAACCCAGCCTGGACTTCTGGCAGTTCTCTGCTGATGTGCTGTTCCAGTCGTTTTTGGATAATCTTCAGTAGACTCTTGTTTGCATGAGCTGGGTCATATGGAATTTCTATGCTCGGCTTTTTTTTAATTAATTTTAATGAACATTTACAGAGATTTTGCATTTCTACTCATTCATTGTTGTATTTTTCTCCCTGCCCGCCCCTCCCCGCTGTGTTCAGCTTTTTGAGGATATGTCAGACCACCTCCCAGAGTGGCTGTAGAGTGGCTGTACAGTTTACAATCCCACCTACAATGTGTAAGAGTTCCTATCTCACCGCATCCTCTCCAACATTTATTACTTCCTGCCCCGCTAAATTTTCCCACTGTTACTGGGTTAACATGGTATCTCGTTATGGTTTTGATTTGCATCTCTCTTATTGCCAGGGATTTAAAGCATTTCTTCATGTGTCTGCTGGCAGTTTTTCCATGTCTTTTGTTTATTTTATAGTTGTATTATTTGTCTTTTTCTTCTGAAGGCCCAGGAGGATTTTGTAAACTTTCATTAAGAGACCCTTGTCTGAAATTGTATTGCCA